TTTTATTACAATGCAATTATATATATTTCGTATATTTCTTTTTATATGTTCTTGTTTCTTAAATTTAGCATTCTCTTAGAACAGCCGAATATATATATTTTACATGTTGCGTTTACGTATATATAATGTATTCTTTATTTTTTTCTAGACTCTCACACTGCGTTGGTTTGTAAATCCTAGTGTTTAATTTATAAATTAAGTATGGCGAATAAAACTAATGTATTTTTCCAAATATTTAAACTCAACACCTTATATATCTGAAGCAACATCATTTGTTAATTGTAAATGTAATGTAAACGTCAAACAGAAAAAAGAAATTGTTTGTATTTGAGGTTTACGTAAAATTGTGTAAATTGTTTGCTACCTCAAAATTCCTTCTTCTTTTTTTTCTGAATTACTTTCTTAATTTATCTTGTAAGCCTAATTGCAGAAAGCGAAACTGCGTTTAAAACAATCGAAACGATAGTCTCTTAGTTTGTTCGGAGTCTTGTGGTCAAGTGGTAAGGAGACGGATTTGTGACGCCAACACGTTACGAGTTCGATCCACCTGCTATACGCGAAACTAAAACACATTGATTTAGACATCCACATAGATATGTGCTATTGCTTTCGGCTCATTTGCATATCAGGAGAGAATGCACCTCCTCTAGAAATTAGTCTGGACCTAGGTTCGAGATTTACCTTTAGATATCAAAAAAAAAAAATCAGTCTCTTAGTACGTATATATATAATGTAAATGTTGTTCTCGTTGAAATAATATATATACGTGTCTTATTTCTTACGATTTCTTACACTGACATAAGATTATATTCTTTAATTTATGAGTAGTTCCATGGAGGAAGTCTTAAAGCATCCGTGGATAGTGTTGGGATAAGCATGAACACTATGTGGAGTTCTACGAGGAGCACAGTCATATTGCCAGTTTTCAAGTGTTTAGTGGCTATGTGTTTGATCATCTCACTCTTAGTGTTCATAGAGAGTGTTTACATGAACCTTGTAGTACTGTACGTCAAGTTGTTTAAACGCAAACCTGAGAAAGTCTACAAATGGGAGCCAATGCAAGAAGATATGGAGCTAGGTCATCAAAACTACCCAATGGTCCTTATTCAAATCCCAATGTACAACGAACGAAAGGTTATATTTTTTATTAATTCCCATTCCTGTCTCCTTATATTAGTTTTTTAGGACCAGCTTTAATTAAATAAAAACATTAAAAACTTAGAATAA